TACACCACCCTTACAATCATGCAGGGACAAATGTACTACCACTACACCACCCTTACAATCATGCAGGGACAAATGTACTACCACTACACCACCCTCATAATCACGCAGGGACAAATGTACTACCACTACATCGCCCTTATAATCATGCAGGGACAAATGTACTACCACTACACCACCCTCACAATCAAGCAGGGACAAATGTACTACATACCACTGCACCTCCCTTGCAATCATGCATAAACAAATCTACCGCTACAACACCCTTTATTCCCAGCATTAAACAAATCATTTAGTATATTTTATTGAAAGGAAAAACCATTTGATGATAAAGCTATAGAACGTTCCATTTTGTCCTCAATCATCAAGTGTCCTAATTTGAGGTGCGATTGGCAAGGAGATCTAAGAAACCTTGAGGTAAGTTAAGACATTAAATTACTTAACTTAAATTCTGCATCAATATATAGCCAAATTAAAAACCAAATATTCTTCTGCTCTCTGTTTTTCCACTATGATATTCAGTGAAATATATATATAGGCTGATTTAAAATATCGCTTAACTAAATTATAAGATCGTCAAAAAATAGCAATAAATGTTTAATTTACACACTTGTTAAATGCCCTAAGATAAAAAATCGCTTCGACCAAGAAATAATGGTAACTGAACAGAAAGAAATGCAATTTGGCTTGAAATTAAAGTGGCTCGATGGGGTTTTCTTGGTGCGCTACCTTTCAACTACAAATCGCAAATGCGCGAACGCAAACAAATCATTGGGAAACAATTTTCTAGAGGTTTTAAGGGAAGATAAAATTTTCAAATGAGCATTTTTTTATACAAATCGGAATTAATATAAAACTGCTGTAAGTATTAATGCGTTTTCTTTACTTCTGAGTCTCTTGAATTTTTTAGCTAAATTTCTAAATCGCTCTTGAGATCTTGGAGGATGAGTACTTTGCTCAAGGTTCAGAAAATTTGAAGAAAATCCGTGGGAGCTTTTTCGAGAAATTTGAAGATTTAAGGCATAGAAATTTAATATTTTGTTATAATGACTAATATGTGCGTAATTTCAAAACTAGTCTATGAATTTTTTTCTAAATTTCTCTACGTTTACTTCAACTATATGTAGGCAGCATGTTGTCAAAGTTTCATTTTCATCGAAAGATTTTAAGTATTTCAATCTCGAGCTTTAAATGAGGACAGCTTCGGCGGTAACATTGCTTAGCCCTTGCTTAGTTGATTATTCATCGCTATTGTCATTTTTCAATTCCAGTGTGCTGCGGGATGCGCCAAAAAAAAACCATTGAACCACCTTAATGGATTGATTACAAAGTTACCGCATAGCGGGAACTTGTAAATTACAAGTTTTATCTCAAACTAAAACTGCTCGACAAAAAGTTTGATTTAGCAAAGTTTAGTACCGACCCGCGCGACCAGAGCACCATACTTAAGGTGGCTCGATTGCGTTTTGTTTGTGGCGTACCTTCGAAGTTTGAGCGGGAAATGCGTCGCTGCCAATAAGTTAAAATCAAATAAATTATCATGACATGTCTAGAGATAGATTCAAGTTATATATGACATACAAGTGATATCACGATCAGAGCTACCAAAGTGACGTCATTTCACTTTTTTACATTTCACTTTTTATACATTCCATTTTCGGCAAAAAAAAAGACGTTTGAGTTAACGAAGTTTCGACGATTTGTATGGAAGCGTTTGGAAAGCGATCAATTAGTCCATGCGAGCGAAACCTTTCCTTTCTGGACTTGGGAAAAGCTTTTTTGGTCTCGTAATGTTGTGTTTCAATTCCACTAGTCCTTCTTAGAAATAGAAAGAAATCGCTTTATTCGATTTCGAGAAATATAATTTCAAGCCTAGTTGTGCCTTCTTGTGTTGGTCTCTTGTCAGAAATTACACTTGTCTTTACAAAAGTTTCAAGTTGATTAAAATTAATATCGGAAGAGCCTCAAATAATAATCTCAACTCCGTAAACATTTGTATCCCAATTCTAAATATGACAGCTGCTTCCTTCGTTTGCATTTAGTTTCTTTCGTTACGCAGAACATTGTCCAGAATATTTCCAAAGTTGTACATTCTAATAGGCCAAATGCAAAACTTGCACCGATGTGAGGCTTAATTCGTAAACAAAGGGATCTGGCATGATTCGTGACTTTAAATTGCTTTGAATTACGCCAGATCCCTTTGTTCACAACTTAAGCCTTACATCGGTGCAAGTTTTGCATTTGGTCTATACCTCATGCATTACATACAATGCCTGATCTCTTTCCGAAACCTTTCCGTATGATAATATTATTGAAATTGAAATTTTATTTAGCTATCTCGTGAATAACAAAGGACTTAGAGAAAACCTTTTTGTCGCACAAATATAGTAGTGTAGGTTGTTAGAGTTGCTGTGGAAAGAAATAAAGCGGGTTTTGCAAGAACTTCTCGTTTCCTTCTTCTCGAGGATGGGGTGCTTGGACTTTTAGAGAACTTAAGCTTTTCAAAATCTGCGACGGCGACGCCAACCGGAAGTGTATATAATTTCTCTTTGGGGTTCTTTTCATTGGAGATTTCACTCACCTAAAGTGAAGTTATTTACACTTAGCCGTCGAAGATTTTGAAAAGCTTAAAAGGTCGCTATTATGGATGAGGAGGTAACACGGTTACCAGTCACAGGGCCCTCTACCAAGCACCCTTGGTCAAGTGGATGATACTTTCTTTTTTGGGCGTGGTCCATAGTAACGTGCTCTCATTCTAGTACCTAGCCCAAACTAATTAGTTGATGAGTTTTAAATGGGGTTAAACGTAGTTAATACCAAGACAATGGTTGTTGGTCGGCGGTCCACACCGCTGAAGAAATTGCTTTTATGCAAAATTCAATCATGAGAGGTGTTTAGGAAACAGGCAATAGTGGATTATTAAGCATTTTTCCATAAAATCAGCTGTTATTTATTTATTTATTTACTGATTTAGGACCACAAGCTCAAGTGTGACTACGAGATAAAAAAGTGCAAGTACTGTGACGTCAAGAAGTCTGTGAAAGAGATCGAAGTCCACATCCGGGAAGAGTGTGAATGGAGAGATGTGCCGTGTCCACAGTGTAAGAAAATCATTGTATCAAGGGATATGGAGGTAACGTATATTAGTAGACAACAACCATTACGAATACGAACAACTGCACGAAAGAATACAATACTTAGTGTGCGTCCATTGAGTTATGAATACACGGGGGAGGCTGCTAAGGATGAGAGAAGCGAGAGGAAGCGAAAAGAGATGCGCGAGGCGAAGCGGTTTCAAGCTAATCAGGCAATCAGAACGCGCGTTGAAACTGAAACGAACGCAATATACGCTAAGATTACATACTGTTTTTCTCTTTTAAGAAACACAATGAATTTTGCCGAGAGTATCCAGTGGAATGCCCAAACCAATGCGGGCAAAAGATAAGTCGTAGAAAGGTAGGTTCTGAAAAAATAAATTATCGAGGAACTCAAGCTTTATTCATTATGATAATATTAAGTCAGTAATACTGCATGTTATCACCTCGGGATCCATTGCTTCAAGAGGGACGTTTAACCACTAACATTCTTATAAACCCGTGAAACAAAAACTAACATCTTTCTCACATAACCACTCTCCGATTCGAGCTAAAATCCCCTCACTGAATGATTTATAAAGAAGCTAGTCCTAATACTCTCTCATCACTACTCATAAGGCAAAGTCCTTCATATAAATATTATCAACCTTTGTTCTAACGCCGCAATCAGAATGACTCTAGACAATACTAGAGACTATTCAAGACCCTAGCACTTATGGGACCTATAGAGTAATACTTGCGCATGCGACCATCACATTTTAACTCCCTTATTTAGGGAATGAACGAAATGAGTTCTTGGCATTTCTGAGCTATCGCTAATTATACGCATGCAACAAAGAAATTTCATGTCCACAATTCTTTAGAGTACATTATAATATTGATTTCTTGAAAGAAATATTCTAATTCACTTCTTTCTAGGTTAACCAAAGTGAACTTTTTTTTCTTTTTCACTCTTGGCAGCATCCACGTCCATGAAAATACCTGTTTTAGTTTATCTCTCTCTTTTTCGTTTTCTCTCTTGAATACATAAATTAAAACATTTAAAAAAAAACTGTGTCTTCATTAATTTTAGGCAGATGATCACATCGTTCATCACTGTCCTATGTCGGTTGTTTCTTGCACCTATAGGGAGTTAGGATGTGATTTCGAGGTGAGTCAATTTCCTTTCTGGTTGAGTATGAGATAAAGGAATGATAAAAGTAAAATAAAATAAAATAAAGGCTTTGCAGGGAATCATCTATACACCCAACTACCCATCCTTTACTCATTCATACAATCATGACCGATGATCCATTTGACATCTAATCAATCCGTCCAATCGAGACCCAGCCCAACAACTCTTCAACCCCATCCGGTTATCCATCGATTCATTCATTTATTCATTCATTCATTCATTCATTCATTCATTCATTCATTCATTCATTCATTCAT